GACGTGTGCTCTTCCGATCTCCCCAAAACCCCAAAACCCCAAAACCCCATCAAGTTCTTTTAAGTTGGTTGACGTCGATATTAATTAAATTACGCAAAAAACAAATCTTAATTGAATTATCAATCTTACATAGTATTTAATCATTTATATTTATCTAGTTAAACTAGGACTTCGAAGAAGAAAATGGATAGTATATTGAATTTTGTATCATAACCTTGGTTCATCGTCAACGCAATTATTGGTAACTAAATTCAACATCAATTATTTTAGCTATTTCATTACTTGAATACGCATTGTATAATGTACGACCAATTGTAAATAGTCCATATGAGGTTGAAGAAAGATTCCCTGCATTCAGGAGATATGATAGAAGAAAGTGGATGAGATGGAGATTGTATTTCTTTGCATTGTTTCTACCAATTAGATTTTTCCTTGGAGTCCTAAATCTAGTTTGCATGTACATCATGATTAGAGTGATTAACTACAATATCAGCAGCTCGGTACCTCCCACTGCTAGATAAGCAGCTCTTACTAAATATTTCACTATATTTCACATGAGATTCTAACTAATACTAGTCTGTGGAATGTTCCGCTTTAAAGTGATGAAAATTCATAAAGAATACTTTGACGTACTTGGACCTGACTGGAAACCTTACAAAGGAAAGCCAGCAACAATAGTTAGTAATCATTCTGCATGGATTGATATTCTATTGGGATGTATTGCACTTGATTTCCCAAGATTTACTTCAAAAATTGGTATCTTGAAATGGCCAATGGTAGGAGTCATGGCCTCATATCCAGGATATGGCACATTATTCCTAGACAGAGCTGGATCTAAAGAAGAGAGAGTTAAGCTAGTAGAGATGATTAATGGACTTTAGAAGGAAATTTGTGCTAAGCAAACAACACCACTTATAATGTACCCAGAAGGATGCACAACAAATAATACTGAAATGATTCAATTTAGAAGAGGAGCTTTTAACGGAATGTACCCAGTTCAGCCAGTTACTTTCAAGTATTACAGTCCGTTTTTCTAATGCTCACATGATATCCTCGATGTTTTCTCGCACATAATACTCATAATGTGCTAGCCATATACTTATTGCGAAATTAGAATAATGCCTGTCTTTTAGCCAAATGAGTACTTCAGCAATTTCTAGGTGAGAGAGGGCGAAGAGAAATGGGCAGCATATGCAAGAGCAGTTAGAAAGATCATGGCTGAATCAATAGGCCAAAGATAGACAGATTAAACTCTTGAGATGAAATTTGAATATAAGAACATCTTATACCCAAACAAAGGCAATAAAAACAAGAGTGAATGATTTAGACTATATTAATTCAGAGAACATATTTATGAATAAGTTCATTTAGCAAAGAAACCAGTTATAATGGTTTCTATTATTAGATGCTTTAGCTTTCTTTCTCTAAAAATTAAACTTTCACCATTATATTATACCATTCCATTACTATCAAAATAGCATATTACGGGGTTTTGGGGTTTTGGGGTTTTGGGG